ATATTGGTTAGCAATTGGCAATCATCGGTATGTATTTATATCGGCCTGCAGATGGAGTCCAACTCGTTTATAAGAAGACGTTTTGATTTTTTAAGCTATATAAGATAATATACATTTTAGACGCATTTTAAAGATTTTTAATGCATAAAGTCTCTCAACACTATTTTGGCCCATTTTATTGTTTAAAAAAAAAGCGCATCTTTTCCATGCATAGCCTTCCTAATTTCCAAATTTAACATTTCTCTTAGTCCAATCGTTAATATTTCATTTTTATTGCATAAAGTCGAACAGAAACAATGGTTAATAGAAAAATAGTTTTCTTTTGGATTCGAAAATCCAGTGGGATGGGGGGGAGGCGGGAAAAATAGCCGAAATCTCAAATTTGTATAATAATAATAATAATCAATCTCTTTATAATAATACATAGTTATAAATAAATAATTGAATACTTGCGATTTAAAGACGCCGAATATGTTAGTTTTAAATAAAACGTAAATTAAACTACCTAAACAGTTTTAAAAAAGATTTCTCTATATTAATTAATAATATTAAGAAAACTAAGTGGTTTTATACGATTTTCCCATCGTAGGAATCATAACGCACTCGTGTAACTGTTATTAATTTCAATTTAAGAACTGAAAATTGTAGGCGTATACGTTTTTCCGCGGCATAAAGCGAAAGAAGTATCAAAATATGCCCCCTTGCAGAACATACATACAAATATTTAAAGTTTAACTATATAAAAAACCGCCGTGAAACCCGTCTTCAAAACACAACCGTATTGGGTTAAGTAGTAGAAACGAACCGGTTTGTCAAATGTACGCAATCGATTTTGGCCATTTCTCCAGTCCCCACCACGGAATTTTTGAATTTAAAAGAAAACCATTTCTCTAGTAACGATGATTTCTGTTCTGCTATATCCTGTCATTTAGACGTATTATAGCCGAGTGACAATAGGTATTATATTCTATATAATATTAAAACAGTGGCTATAATTTGTTGGAAAATAATTTTGTAAAATATTCTAAAAAATACTGCATTGAAATCTATAGCATTACTGAAAACAAATTAAAAAAAAAAAACTAATCTGAAGGCATATAAAAGAACTGCAGAAAATAATTAACGAGGAAAATAAACTGGCGGAACAGAAAATATCGGAATTCAAATATTCTAATAGCCATGAAAATACTTGGCCGGAAATGTAAAATGTTTGAAAACAATAATGTAATTGAAAATGATAATTTTACCAGAAGACATAATGTCGGAACGCTAATTTTTGGAAATTTAACAATCGTATGATAACTGCAGAAATACCATGCATCCAAGTTTGCGGCAAAACTAATTTACGTGTAATACGGGAAAGCTGTATAATCCGTATAATGTTAAATCTACTGTAGCAGTGGTTATCACATTTTCCAAAAAAATATATTTCAGTCAGATTAGATTTTTAACAAATTAAGGCTCCGACATTTTGTCTTTCATTAAAACCGTTTCCCTCATATTTCATTTTCCACATTTCCAATTTTTGAATTCCTGGTAATTATATTTTCCAAGATTTTGGTTTCTGGAATGTTAGAGTACCTCGTCTTTTATTTCCCAAGTAATTATGCATTCTCTAATAAAGTTGTTAAGTCAGCAATATATAAAATTCGGTCGTCGGGCACGACGACGGTAGCGGCGCGCCATTGTCACTGTTAAACAAACATTAATTATTAAGATCTATGGAAATTATTGTATTCGAAAAACCACTAGTCTCCGGGACTTCAGGCCTGGAAGAACATGGATAATGAGTTCGGCGCGAGTCTGATAAATAAATCGTGTTGCAATTTTTAAAAGACTCATTGTTTGTGTTTTTGCACAATTTGTGCACGTTTGTGTTTAACACGATTTTTTACGAGGTTACCTAGCGCATACTGTAGTACTCTCCGGACGATTTACAGCTATTTATTATACTCACTTGCGCGCCGGATTGATTCCGTACTCGGCAAACCTGTTGTAGTTTGATATCAAGGCGTATGGTGGAACGCGAAACGGATCGCCTTTAGTATGTCGTACTCGTCAACCCTGTGGCCTTATGTGGCGCATATTGGATTCTAGAGTAGGTGGGGTTGGTTGAGAACTACCGAAACTTTATTCCAGGTACTCGGTAACCCGGTGGTTTTCTGCCGGGTTTGCGTGCATATAGTATCGACCCTTCGACCCGACTCCTTTGGCCGTTCGGTTAGTAAAGCCAATTACGGAAGGTTTCGGAAGTCCGTCGGGCGGTTACTAGCGCGTGTGTCCACGGAAACGCCGGGATGCGTATAATACGCCACATCCACTATACCAACGGAATACTAATGATCGGACCGCGAAAAATTTTGAATTTTCGATATTTAGAGGAGGGGTCTACGATTGACGGACGATTGTGGTCGACCGGGCCGGGCCGGGCCAGTAAAAACGAACCGGACCGGGTTCAAATGTAAAATTATGACCGGAAATGTGTTTTTTTTTTTTTTTT